TGACGAGCAGTTTGATGTTATTCTGTATTTCAGGTTTGTTCCTGGCTTCTTCTCACTGGACCTTGACGAGCAGTTTGATGTTCTTCTGTATTTCAGGTTTGTTCCTGGCTTCTTCTCACTGGATCTTGACGAGCAGTTTGATGTTCTTCTGTATTTCAGGTTTGTTCCTGGCTTCTTCTCATTGGACCTTGACGAGCAGTTTGATGTTCTTCTGTATTTCAGGTTTGTTCCTGGCTTCTTCTCACTGGATCTTGCCTCATAACTTGGTGATCAAGTCTACTCCTTTCTTTCTGTAGCTTCATCATGACGTTTCATTTCTTTTCTCAAAGTTTCAGACTTTCTCTGTGACTTATGAAACTTTTCCGTTTGGCACTTTTTTGGCATCGTGAGTTTCCTTGTTTTTCATCACTTTATACTCATACTGAAGTAAAAACAACAGGGAATCCTCAATAGCTGCGGCACTGGAAATTCATTTAGGCAGAATTAAAGTAAATTAATCTACGAAACCTTGGGCGTGGTCAAATAATCAATCGAAAGGGTTTGAACTCCTGAGACCAAAACTGTAATTAGATATCAACTCGGTCAAGAGATGACGGAGCTATAAGCTAAAAGTTTGTACTTGAATCAAAAATTACTTGTGTAACATACGAAGATCGAGTTACTACAGAATTCCTACAAGTTTGTTTACAACGAACTCTGTACGAATGACTTGCGATTCCTTTGGTCACAGAATAATTCAGTTCATAGCTTACGCTTCGATTCTCCAGCAGAAAAAACCGTTTATATTCTGAAATATCACAACAATTCTTTACTAGGAAGACTCACTTTGAAATTCTGCATTAAACTCACTTTACCACAATTTTAGAAGTTTTATTTAAAAAAAATACTAATTTGGTTGATAATAATAAATGTACAAAATTAATTTACATTATTAAAATGGAAAGAAGAACCGTTTCCCCATTAAGAAAGCGATTCACGAAAAATGTTATAAAATAAGGTCCTATTATTTTTTATTTTATTTTAGCGAGGGTCTATTTTGGTGTGATACCGTTTCTCCATTAAGAAAGCGATTTACGAAAAAATGTTATAAAATAAGGCCCTAGTTTTTTAAATTTTAATGGCTCTATTTTATAACATATTTTGGTGTGATATAAAGCTGTTATTGATTTATTATTTCTTTAAAAAGTGGACGCATGCACTGTATATTTCAGATTACAGTATAAAAACTCGTTCTTCTATAATGTCATTACAGAACAAATTTAAGTATTTATGGATTATAATTTAAGTTCATATTTCTTAACGTTTCGGTGTTTTATTCTTAACCAGTTTCAGTCTTAGAAAAATTTGGGCTTTACCGGTTATTTAAATGTGTCATTTCTATTTTCTACAAAAGAAAGTTATTTGTAGTTTATTTTTACAAAAAAAACCTTTACTATCTGCTTTTAGTGTTTATTTGAATAGTTATCTACAGTACAACATATCTTTTTACAGCTTGGATATGTCGCGTAAAAATAGAAAATAGCACAATTACATCGTGCTAATGTCTGTCTGTCCGCAAAACTCCTCCACAGTTTAAGTCCTATTTGGATGAAACTTCGCACGATTTTTCAACGTTATAAAAGGAAGTTTCTTACAAAGTTTTGTTACAATTGGGTCTCTTATAAAAAGATTTATTTAGGTAAGATTTAGATAACTGGTTGTTCTATAACGAGTCTTATTTCCAGTGACTGTAGGTGAGATTTAGATAACTGGTTGTTCTATAACGAGTCTTATTTCCATTGACTGTGGACATAATGAAATACCATCTTGCACAGACACTGGATATAACATCTTTTATAGAACAACCAGTTATCTAAATCTCACCTACAGTCACTGGAAATAAGACTCGTTATAGAACAACCAGTTATCTAAATCTCACCTACAGACACTGTATATAACATCCGTTACTAGAACAATCAGTTATCTAAATCTCACCTACAGTCACTGGAAATAAGATCCGTTATAGAACAACCAGTTATCTAAATCTCACCTACAGTCACTGGATATAAGATCCGTTATAGAACAACCAGTTATCTAAATCTCACCTACAGACACTGGATATAACATCTTTTATAGAACAACCAGTTAAATAAATCTCACCAACAGACACTGTATATAACATCGACATAGAACAACCACTTATCTAAATCTCACCAACAGACACTGGATATAACACCTTTTATAGAACAACCAGTTATCTAAATCTCACCTACAGACACTGGATATAACACCTTTTATAGAACAACCAGTTATCTAAATCTTACCAACAGACACTGGACATAACATCCGTTATAGAACAACCAGTTATCTAGATCTTACCAACAGACACTGGATATAACATAATTTATAGAACAACCAGTTATCTAAATCTCACCTACAGACACTGGATATAACATCCGTTATAGAACAACCAGTTATCTAGATCTTACCAACAGACACTGGATATAACATCTTTTATAGAACAAACAGTTATCTAGATCTTACCAACAGACACTGAATATAACATCCGTTATAGAACAACCACTTATCTAGATCTTACCAACAGACACTGGATATAACATCCGTTATAGAACAACCAGTTATCTAAATCTCACCTAAAGACACTGGATATAACATCTTTTATAGAACAACCACTTATCTAGATCTTACCAACAGACACTGGATATAACATCTTTTATAGAACAACCAGTTATCTAAATCTTACCAACAGACACTGAATATAACATCCGTTATAGAACAACCACTTATCTAGATCTTACCAACAGACACTGGATATAACATCTTTTATAGAACAACCAGTTATCTAGATCTTACCTATACACTTGAAGACCGGTTCTCCAGCATACTGTTCTTTAGTATGAGGGTGAAAATAGGGACACTGTTGTTCTACCCGATGACAGAACGTCCGGCAAGGTTTTATATGTTGATCGTGGAGGAAAAACGGAAGTAGCATGGCGCACACCCACTGTCGATACACTTTCTAAAAGTAGAAGAAAAAACAAGTAAAAATTGCCTTCCCTTATAAAGTTTAGTCAAACACTTTGTATGTGTGTATGTGGTTTGGAGTTTCTTTTCCGCCACGAAAGATTGGAGGGGGGGGGCAATCATTAACCCGAAGTAAACCTTCTTTTTGGTAGCACTTAGTAAGAAACGAGTGTCAAATGTGAGAGTTATTGAAGTGATTTTGGATGACGTCATGGGTATCTGTAGCAGCTCACCATGACAACGAGTTGCTGTCATTTTGAAGGTGTACGTGTCACTGACCTCCAGTGTACGAAAGGACAGGAATGGGTGTGAAATATTCTCCACATTTTGGTGGTAGATACCCGGCATTAGTTCTTCAGGTATTCGTGTCATAATCTTTCTACCATTACGTTGTTGTTGATTAGAAAATGAAATTCCTTTTCGGAACGAAAAATTAAGTTTTTACAAAAAAGCTGAATAATCATTTTTTCCGTGTAATGTATAATTTGTTATGAAGATAAATACGAATTCATCTAGATTGTTCCACTTCTTTCTATAACTCCTAATATCCAAAATATAATATAATAATTGAAAGAATTCTTTCTGCATCTAGCTAAATCTTTTTTTTTTTTTCGCCCAGTTTGTGTAAACAGTACTTAACAGATCTGAAATTGAATCTCCTAATATATTCCGGAAAGGTCCTAAGTAATAATGATCTGGGTTTAACAACTTCTTTAGATCCACGTCAAAAACAAAAACAACAACAGGCCCTCAAAGTTGAGAAATGTTCAGATAATAGAGTGAAAGAGATTGCATCCAACCGTGTTAATTTGTTGGAGTCTTCACAGACCACTGACACCTGCTATAGAATACACGTAGCTCATAGATCGATTATTTTTGTACGTGCTTCACGTGCTCGTCCTTAAACACCACTTGTTTTGGTTGAAATCGAGTGAGAAGAAAAGTTTTCATGAAAAACTTTTAATAAAAAATTATTTGTTTGTTTGTTGTTGACTACAATGCTACACAATGGACTACCTGTGCTCTGCCTATGCAGGTATCGATACCCGATGTTTAGCTTTATAAACCCACAGACGTATTACTGAGCCACAGAAGAGAGAGAGAGAAAAAAGATAATGCGACGTGTAAAGAATCTTTAGTTCATATAAAGCCCACCAGTGGCACAGCGACAGGTCTGCGGATTTACAATGCTAGAATCCGGGTTTCGATACCCGTGGTGGGCAGAGCATAGATAGCCCATTGTGTAGCTTTGTGCTTAATTACAAACAAACAAAGTTCATATAAAACCTAATTATGAGAGTACTTAGTTGTGACGAAAAGGTTTTATCTATCTAGCTAAATACCTATTTGTTGGTCGGTCTGTCTGTCTTCACACCTCTCTCTCTCCACCTATCTATCTCTTAAACTATTACAAAGAACTACTGGAATAAGATCATTCATAGCTTGAACATACCGTATAAATCTTTATTACTAAGTCTTCCTGGATTAATTAATTTGATAAGTCAGCAAATTGAAGACAAATTCTGCCTGAAACAATTGGTCGTGGAGTAAATTTTTAATTTAAAACGTCCAAAGGTTACCTTTGTTCTTCTTCTAATACTATTTGTATTTTTATTTAAAACGAAAATTCATTGCAATAAATGTTTGGGGAATCTTGTGAAGGTTATAACCTTTAGTAAATATTTATAACAGCCGAGAATTAACACTTAAAACAAAAATAAATATTCAAAAACAGAGGATGAATTGCCTAAAGAAAAGTTTATATATTTAATAAAACTTCATACCGCTTTAAATGCACTTCTGCCGCACCCAGTGGCACAGCAGTATGTCTGCGGACTTACAACACTAGAAACTGGGTTTTGATACCCGTGGTGGGCAGAGAACAGATAGCTCGTTGTGTAGCTTTGTGCTTCTTAACCTCAAACAAACAATTAAATGCATTTTGTTCTACTCTTTGTCTTACCGATTCTTCTCCTTGGGTGAGTGAAATAGTTCTCACTCCACACATAGGGGAGGGGGGATTAACTTAGACGTTTTATTTAAGAAATAAAAATAGGTAATTTATATTATAAAATTAATGCATCAAACAAAGCAGACGATTCCCAAGTTCTAGATTCAACAAGATAAGTATCACCACTGGAACTGATATAAAATAGATGACTGACTTAAATAACGTTTCGACTGAGACTTTGTGTGTTGCACTTCCAGCCGACCTGAGGAGTTGTGGTATTAAGCGAAAGGCCTCGTTGGCAGTGGCATTCGGCACACAAGATGTGCAGTCGTAGTAGTATTAGATTCTTGTTAATGGGAACCCATAATGTACAGTCAGTAAAGAAATATTTATAAAAACAAGTATTATTAGTCTTCATGGTGATGTACGGGTAAGAATCACCATGATCTCTTGATCCAACAGGATAAACGCTGCCACTGAAACCCTGATCCATTTTTGTTCGATTCTTTGTGTTGTTGCTAAGTGCAAATATACAAAGTGGGCTTTCTATGTTGTGCCCTTCCTGGGATCGAGCATAGAAATTCGGTGTTATAATCTCTAGAGCTTACAACTGAGACACCAAAAGGCAATCTTGATTCAGCAGGATAAGCGCCACCACTGAAATCTTGATCAAACAGGATAAAAATCATCATTGAAATCTTGATCAAACAGTATAAATATTACTACCTAAATCTTAATCAAACAGGATAAACATTGTCACTGAAATCTTGATCAAACATGATAAACATCACCACTGAAATCTTGATCAAAGAAGATAAACATCGCCCCTGAAATCTTGATCAAACAGTATAAACATCGCCACTGAAATCTTGATTAAACAGGATAAATATTACTACCTAAATCTTAATCAAACAGTATAAATATTAATACCTAAAGCTAAGTAAAACACGATAAACATCACCACTGAAATCTTGATCAAAGAAGATAAATATCGTCACTGAAATCTTGATCAAACATGATAATCATCATCACTGAAATCTTGATCAAACATGATACACATCATCACTGAAATCTTGATAAAACATGATAAACATCACCACAATAAGAAGCTACCGTATATTGCACCCGATTTGTTTTGGTTTTGGTTTTCTTCATCTTTAAACTATTTTTATTTTTACTGCATGGTTCAGTATTTCATTGGGAAAGAATGGTCAGCAACTAATCTTTGATTTTTACAAAACGAATTGTAGTTCAGGTTTATTTTAGGAACATCCATTTCCATGAAATGTGCTTGATTTAAATCAAACTTTATCGATGTTTTTAAACATCATTGTAAACATTGTAAAATCGAATGTTTATGTTTTAAACGATAAATAAAATCAAAGCTCTAACACTTTTTTAGCTATTTCAGGGTGTTTATTTACATTCATTAAACAAAGATATGTTTAGGAATTAAATATTTATTGTGTTAGTTTAACAAAAAGCATAATGAAATAAATGTATTTTAGTACTCACGTTACTGCTTGGAAAATAAACATTTAACCGATTTGCCTTATAAGATATAGCGGTATTCTACAAACATGATACCGATTTGCCTTATAAGATATAGCGGTATTCCATAAACATGATACCGATTTGCCTTATAAGATATAGCGGTATTCCATAAACATGATACCGAATTGCCTTATAAGATATAGCGGTATTCCATAAACATGATACCGAATTGCATTATAGGATATAGCGGTAATTCCATAAACATGATACCGATTTGCCTTATAAGATATAGCGGTATTCTATAAACATGATACCGATTTGCCTTATAAGATATAGCGGTATTCCATAAACATGATACCGAGTTGCCTTATAAGATATAGCGGTATTCTATAAACATGATA